CAATCGAAGGCACTTAAATTATATAAAAGAAATAATCCAACCAAGATTTGAATAAGCTTCAGCAGAATCTAATAGAACCCATGGAAATGTCATAAATTGTTGTTGGAAGAATAGATGGTCCATGTTCATCCTTGATAAATTAGAAAGAATTTCAACACTTCATGATGATATCAATTTCACTCTCAGAAATAGTAGAATATAACTGGCGAAGTCCAGAGCCAAAATGAAATTAATCCTTAGATAAATAGATGGATAGATAGAGTCGATAATATCAACTGAAATGAATGAACATAGATTTAAATAAATGATGTTGTTAAACCAGTAAAAAAATGACCTCAGATAGATTTGAAAAATTTGATATATAGATATATAGATTATATATATATATATATATATATATATATATAGATATATAGATGTGTGATTATAAAAATAGATGTGAAAAATATATTCCTTTGTCTAATCTCAAATATAAATTTTCTAAACTATCAATAGATAGATAACATTAGATACCAAAAAAAAAGATATTATCAAAATAGATAGAAATTATTACTAATTATTAATTATTAATCAGTTTATTGATGTAAATATGTAAATACTTTTAATAAATAATTAAATAATAGATAGATCAAAGCTTGGAAAACTAATAAGATGATTTTAGATAGATAGATCCCAACACTTAAATGATAGCTGGGGTCATCTCCCAAGATAGACAATATCAAATTTAACATCACACAAATGGATATATGATGAATGAGTCATATATATATATTGACACATTTAAATATTTAAATGTGTATGTATCTGCTAACTCACTCATGTCTTCTCTCTCCCCCTCACTTCCTCACTACGTTAATTTACATATGTTTAATACGGCCCATCAAAAATGTGTAAATTTTCTTTTCATTTTTTGTTTGGAAGTAAAGTCTGATCATCTGCAGTCCTTTAAAATGGCTGTGGTGAAATAATCTATTACATGGAACCTTAAAGTGGTCTGTTTTTATTTAAATTATTTGCTCTGGATTTACATTGAGCTCTCTGGGTTTTATCCTCCTTAGGTTTACCCATACGGATTACCTAGTTTTTCATAAACTCTATATATATATTATATATATATATGTATATAAAATGACAATTGGGAAAAACGTTCATGAAAATGTTTTGAAAAAATATCTGATAATGCATTTTGCCCAATTTGTCATTTAATGTATAACTCTATCAGGATCATTTTCTCAATCTTTCAAAGAAAAAGAATATAAAAATCAGATTAGAAATGTAATCTTAACAACTACTCTAACACTATATAATTAAATTTTTATATTTAAACTGTTTAAAACATAAATTAAAACCAATAATACATGTTTTATAATAACAGTAATGACAATCCCAAATGACACCATCCAATTTATCTATTTCTATAATGAAAAATTATTCTAGATGAACTTTCTAGCGTTTGTATTAATCTCCTTTTTTCTTTACTTGTATTATAATTAATGTAGTTATACTTAGTGTTATTGTTTCTGTAAGTGTAAATTATTACACAGATAAATTGAGTGTATAATATGCTAATAATTAATAATTAAGATCAAGCTTTAAGATAAGACTTTTTTCATAATTCTGACAATCTATATTTCTTAACAGAATTTACATTCTTTTTTATTTATCCTACTGAAAAATCCAAATTTAATAGCAATGACTTTCAAGATTAATCTGCTTAACTTTGTTCTAAAGATTTTTTTCAATTAGTTATTATACATTATTTCATGTTTTATTTGGTATAAACTTTCAACAATATTTGTAGTATTTTTGAGAATGTGCAATATATATATATATATATATATATATATATATAGTAAAAAACTGAATTAGAAAATTTAAGATTACTTTGTAAATACTAGAATGATGAAACTTTTCATATAGATCATTGGAATCAACCTAAATTGAATTGTTGTTTTTTAGTCTTGATTTAAATCCTTAAAATTACTTATTTATAATGATTTTGATTATGACAAAACTATTAACCATGTACTCTTTTTTGCTTTTGTGCTAATATCAAGGTGATCCATATAAAATCGCATTAGCTAATATGCATTCACCTGCAATGAATATTAAGATTTACATACATATATATATATATATATATATACATGAGCTTAAAATGTCCCAATGGACTTTAGAAAAAGAGAATAAATAATCTGAAATTATATATATATGTATATTTTATTGAATGTGACACAGGAGGAAAATTTTATCAGTTTTTTTATTAAGTTTTTCCCTGGGTGAGTGCGTATGTATGGGGAAATGTATGTCCATAATGGTTATTGCTCCTAACACTTTTGGTCAATAATTATCCCTGCAGAAATTAAATGGCATCAACATTAAAAATATAGTACAACAAAACATTAATATCTTTTAATGTAACCAGCAAATTATAAATAAGATGAAATTGCCATGCAACATATCCTTAAACAATACATTTTACCCTAGCAAATATGTAAAACATACTATAAAAAATTAAAAAAAAACTGCCAACAATATGCCTATCAAATCTAAACATAAGAACACCAATTTAATTTATCAATTTTGATGTAACTCTAGTAATAAACTGAATGACTACATTGGATATACATCAACAACAATAATTTTTAAAATAGCACTTGAATATGCAGACACAACTGCTTACTACCATTAAAGGTGTTTTCTTGTAGATAACACCATTGTTCTAAAGAAATCTTATTGTAAAAGACTTTTTATGTTAATTGAGGCTGTTTATATAAAACAATTTAAGCTAAGACCCAAACTTATCCTATTTAACAATGGAAAATTATAGTAATATATCAGCTGTTTTTAAATGACACCCTAGCATAGAATCAACCACATTTCTTCTATCACAACTTAGTATTTCTACTATTTCTATACAATGCAACTTAGAACACACAGTAAAACATATTAACAGCAAACACCTTGAAAATGGCTAATGAATTGGCTGAAAGAACCTGAGATAATAATTATTAGTTTCTATACACTTTTAGACTCCCCACAAAAAAAAAAAAAAAAAAAAACTGTAAGAACATTAGAAAAACTTAATAAAAAAATTTATTAGATTGTCATTTTTTGCCAAAGCAACATCTATAAAAGAATGACTGCTAACCAAATATATAGTAGATAGCTGTTTGAATAGATACCCCTCCATCTTTTTATTTTTTTAAGAGTGTAATTAACATCTACTGGCTTGAGCAATCAAGTCTTATTAAAGGAAATGATTAAAATTCTGAGTATTTATTATACAAAACCCTAAAGCCTTTTATACTCTAAGGCATTCATTGAAATAAATCAGTTTATTTTAGTATGGCTTCTGAATAAGTGAATTTATTTCACTTGTTAAATTACTAAGTGTCGGATAACCTGATGCTTCAAATAAACCAATTCAACATTTCACACATTTGTTATTAATATATATCTTCAAAGTTTCTTTTTAGACTATAACAGAACAATGTTTTGATATGCCTTCTTTTAAATAATTTCTTATATAGTATTGTTTTTTGTGCCATGTTTCTAGGGTATGAAATGTGTATGCAATTGTAACAAATAAAACAATGTTAATAAAAATTATTTTCATCAGTGTATTAATAAAAATAAATAAAATATTTTTATGCATATATGCAAACATAGGTATCTAATGTTCCTGAATTAAAAATGTTTTCCTCTCTTCAAGGGCTCGCATTGATCACAGAATTAAGCAATTAACTGAAGGGTTAATGAGTGAACTACAAGTAACACCAGAACGTTCACTTAGGGGAGGACCTAGGGCTGCTCGTAGAGCTGTAGCTCAATTGATACGTCTTGGTAAATCTGCCCAGGTTTGTATTTACAGTTATTTTTACCTATATAAATCAAAATGTGTGTTAGTGCCTATGCTACTTTCAAATACCAATGAGAATTTTAGAGAAGTTTATTTGTGGGAGTAAATAATTGCTGGAAGAATACTGAACTATTAATCTATTAGTTTATGTGATTGTCATGAGCAAGATACGTGACATCAAGCGCAAAAACGTCCATGCATTGCATGCATATGGTGTCGCAGAACAATTAAAAGAAAAGAAAAATTAATGGAGTGCGCCTACGCATATGTAAAACTCTCCCGCTCAACCAGTCGGCTGATTCGTCATGGTCTATAAAATGAGTGTGTCTGAAGGCTTTGGCAGTTGGGGCCCAAGGGAGCCAACGAAGATGCCAAGAGACAACTGCCCTGAACAGGAGATGACTACCTTGAACGAGATGACAGCCCTGTATGAGATGACTGCCCTGTTCCAGCGGGTCATTTTTGACGTGACAGCTACAATCTATTTCAGCAATTATGGCTTTTGCTCCTAAACCACTACCACTATTTGATGGAAGTGATTCTGGACAGTCAGTTATTGAGTGGATAGAGAAGGCAGAATTGATATACCAGCTTAGCAGCATAAAGCGTATTGAATGTGTGGTTCCTATGTATCTATCGGGTGGTGCATATGCAGTGTACCAGCAGCTGAGTGAAGAAAAGAAGAAAGACTTTACCTGCATCAGAAATGCTTTGTATACGGCATTTGCCCTGGACTCTGTTACAGCTTGGAAGCAATTTGTAGCACACTGCAGGTGCCCAGGTGAAACTGTCGATGTCTTTTTGGCCAAATTGCGTAAACTTTCAGTTCTGGTCAGTGGTATGACCGATAGAAGTCTGATGTGTGTGTTTATCACCGGGTTGCCAAAGCATACCGAGGAATTGCTCTGAGCATCTTCCCAGTTAGATGATATGGACATTTCACAAGTGCTAGCTCAAGCATGTGCCATACTGAAAAAAAGTCCTGCAGATATTGAGCAAGCAGCGGTAGCTGCATGATCATTGCGTTGTCAGGCGAAGGAAGTTGATGCACCGACAAAATGTTATGTTTGTGGCAAGCCCAATCACTTGGCACACAACTGTCTCTCATGGTGTGAAACATCAAGGAAAGAGAATGCTGAACCCCGAAGACCGGGAAACAGGCAGGAGGATGAGGCTTTAGTGCCAGCCTTCTCCCCAGATCCTCTTTAAATAGGGCACTATTTACAACGACTGTGCAGATCAATGGAATGAGGCGTATAGCTCTTGCGGACACTGGTTGCACCCAAACACTCATATGCAAAGTATGCTGCTAGCTGTGAGAGAGAAAGGAGGTACACGTCCTGATTGTTGGTGGGAATACCCTTAGGTGCTGTGGAGTCGGGGTGGTCCGGCTTGGCATAAACAATACACCCTCTATTGACATAAAAGCTCTGGTTGTGGACAAGGAATTACTTGGATTTGACTTGTTGCTTGGGCTGGACACAATCAAACAGTTGAGTGGAATGTCCATGACTAGCACCTGGTGAGGTAAAATTTCCCCAATGTCACAAGTCATCACCGTCAACAAGCTTAATTTTGAAGCAGTTTGATGCTAATAGACGGATATGGATTGCATTGTGGAAGTGATCCAGTGCCCAGACGCCAATTATGTTAAAAAACAGGCTGTTAGAATAACCTACTCCTAAGCTCCTTTGGGTGGAGTACAACTGAGAACTGAAAACTTGGATACAAAACAACTGGCTGCTTCCATACTCTGAAGATGATCTTGGGCCCCCAAAGAGTCTGATTCCTCTAATGACCGTCCTACAGGAAAACAAACAAAAGGTTCAGATCATGGACTACCGCGAGCTCAACGAGTATGAAGATGCATTCACTGCCAGTGCAGTTGTATGTGCACACAAATTAAAAGAGTGGTGGCAGCAAGGTTCAGACATCATCGTGTTGGACTTGCGCCGGGCATATTTGCAAGTTCACATTGAGAAGTCCTTGTGGCCATTCCAGACAGTAGAAATCAAGTGGAAAAGATACTGCCTCACTTGCTTGGGGTTCAGGTTTAATGTGGCACCTCTGATAATGCAGTTCATCATTAACACCATAGTTGTGCAAGATGAGAACATCAACGAAGCTACATCTTCATACATTGATGATGTATTCGTCAATGAGAACATACATATGTCCTGCATCCTGTGTAAAAGAACACCTTGAGAGGTTTGGACTTACATGCAAGGACCCAGAGCAGTTACAGAGCGGCACACGCATGTTAGGATTGCATGTCTGGGAGGAGCGCAACAAGCTTCTATGGAAGTAAGCTGCCAACATTGCCCAATGTACTAACATGTCAAAATATTTTGTCTGTGTGTGGGAAATCGACTGGACATTTTCCAGTGTGCAGCTGGCTACATGTTATGACCACATTCATAAAATGTAGAACAAATGACAACTGGATGGGATGATAAAATACGAGACCCCCTCCAGAGCCAGATAATGGTGGATGTTTTCACCAGTGGTGCAAATAGATTCAGTGCATGGGGACTGGTGTGTTGATGGACAGGACAACACTGTATGTGTGGACGTGAGCTCATTAACCACTGATGTCGTCATTGAGAGCAGTAAAGCTGTGGCTGTAGATGCTAGTTGGCTGCAACCAATGAATGGGGATAAGCACATCAACTTGGCAGAACTCAATGCAGTGCTATGAGGCATCAACCTTGCACTGCAGTGGGAAAGCAAAGGTGATTCACCTGAAGACACTCAACGTGCATGCATTGCTGGGTTTCAGACACCTTGTCCGGAAAGTCGAGGGTACGAATCAAGGCTGCCACTGAGAAGCTGGTCAGCCGTTGGCTTGGCACGCTTCGACATCTGGCCTCAGAATATGAGCTGAAGATTTGACGGGGCAATGGTTAAGTCTCATGATAACCAAGCTGATCAACTCACTAGAGTGCTGCAGCGATGGTTGGATGAAGAAACGGAACCTGTAGAACAGGCATGCACTATGGTTGCAGAAGGTGAGGAGTCTGCTCATATACGAGCCATTCATCAGTCTAACGGACACCCTAGTGTGAAGCGCACACTGTACTTTACAAAATTGGTCATCCCCAGAAGAGCAGAGTAGGAATGAGTGTGACCCATTTTGGGGGCCAGCACTACCTAACACTGATAGACTGTGGTTCTAGTCAGTTTGACATTTTGAGGCCATTGTAGCACCATGACTCCACCAGTATCATCTGGCAGTTGGAGACAATCTTTTTTAAAAGAGGAATGCCAATTGAACTGCTTGCCGACAATGCTGTTGTGTCTTGTGGGGAAAGATTCACAAGACTTGCAAAGGAATGGGGTCTCTGGATAAGATACCAATGCGTGCACGTACCATCAGGGAATGGGATAGTAGAAAGATCCCATTGCACGATAAAGTGCATCGCTGCGAGAACACAGTGCTTTCTTATGGAGGCAGTATACTGACATAATATGACACCAGAGGACAACACCACTGCTTCAACAGCGCCAGCCAACTTAATTTATACCTACCACACTTACATGAAGTGCAATGATACCACACCACCGCCTGACATTGCAGGTTCTGGAGCATACACTACAGGAGATGTTGTTTGGGTGAAGAGACCACATGGGTGGTGTACAACAAGGTTTGAGTAGGGGAAAGTGATGAAGGTCTATGGCTCTCATTCAGTCCTTGTAGACCACACCATGTAAAAGATGTTTTTCCAGTGCATAGGGTTGGAGACTACCAGCAGCCATGATACCACCTCAGATGAAGAAACCTCTATCTATGAGGGGCAGATGCAGGAAGACACAATGAAAAGTGCAAGTGGCATCCTCGAACGAGATCAACTCAGCGATACGACAGAGGAAAATACAACTAATGAAATAGCCGAGCCCGTTCCACTGAGACGAAGTAGCAGGATAAAACAACTTGTACCACACTGCCATTTCTGTGATCCTCAGATCAGGGAGGAGTGTGATTGTCATGAGCAAGATATGTGACATCATGCCCAAAAACGCCTACACACTACATGCATATGATGTCACAGAGCAATTAAAAGAAAAGAAAATGGAGTGCACCTACGCATATGTAAAACTTTCCCACTCAACCAATCAGCTGCTTTGTCATGGTCTATAAAATGAGTGTGTCTGAAGGGTTTGACAGTGGGGGCTGAGGGAGCCGACGAAGACGCCGGGAGACGACTGCCCTGAACGAGAGATGACAGCCCTGTACAAAAGATGACTGTCCTGTTCCAGCAGGTCCTTTTTGATGTGACAGCTATAGTTTATATTGTGTGTGCGTGTTGTGTATGCACGCACACACACACACACACACACACAAGCTGTCGAAAAAGTCTTGATTCAACTCACTTTCCAAAATCAATATTCTGATGTAGGCTCACCCTCTCAAATATCAAAGTGACCGTGGTCACTTAAATATCTTTTTAGGCCTACAGGTTGCGATGGGTAAATTGTCGTCATTTTATATTTTTAATTTTGCACATGTGTGTTGCTTGTTTTCATTTTATTGACTGCACAGTTAGCTGGGCACCAACTGTGTAAAAGAGCACCATGATGCAATACACTCTGCCAGAAATTTGGAAACAGCATACTGTAATGTTTGGTGGAAGCTCCAATACAAACATTTTAGAGTGTTTGGGTGTCAATCTGAGGACAGTGCAGAGGATTCAGAAAGAGTCTAATAGTGATTACAATGGAATGGCAGAGTGGAAAACTCACTCTGCTTGTTCTGATAAGAAAAGAACTCCTAAATTTGTTGGGATGGGTCTCAAACTCAACATGGAGGCCTACATCAAGTGCCTTGATGAGGTAGTGCTGCCCTGAGTCAAGAGGGTGACTGCTGGAAGACCGTATGTCTGTCAACAGGACCCTGTACCATGCCACGCAAACAGGAGAAACCAGTCATGGCTGTCAAGCAATTTTTGCAATCATATCACCCGTAACATCAGGCCACCTAACTTCCCAGACTGCAACCCTCTTGCTGCATAGATGAGTGAGAGACAAACAAAACAACCTGGAAATAAAAGATGAACTGAAGGCAAAGTTTATGGCAGCATTCACCAAATTAAACAAGGAGACTGTCCAGAAGAGTTGCAGTAGATTCCAAAGTCGTCTGAAGGCCATGATTTGAAATCAAAGGCAATTTTAATGAATATATTTACTCTTTAGTATTTCAAGATATTTTTGTGTAATTTTGGTAAATATATCTGTTAAAATGAAAGATCAATGTTTTTTCATTTTTGTGCAATTTAGACGACAATTTATCGATCGCACCCTGTATTTTTATAGTTAATTATCGAATTTATATTGTAACTATATTATATTAGTATTGTTTAGTATTTTTAAATAACAGCAAATATCTCCTGCAACTTTGAAATTTAATTCACTTGGAATAAAACAAATCTTTTGTTTGATTTATGCTTTTCCAGGCCTGTGAGCTATTCTTAAACAATCGTAGTGCTATTATTAAATACAATATCCGTCAACTGAAATTTGAAGGTTCAACAACACTATACATCAAACGATTGTGTACAGGGTTCTTTTCTAGTCTGTCAGAAACGGGCAGAGAATTCATGAAGGCCTTTCCTCAAAATTATGGTTGCTATTCAGGTAGGTGTACATATATCACCTTTTATTGATCAGTTTCTCTCTATTTCTCATTATAGTAAATAGATGAATTTTACTTGGCTGTTTTTACAAACAAGTTTTGAAAGACAATTTTTATAGATTTAAAAAAAATTCTATTCTTGGAACTGTACCTCTGAGAAAACTATTGAATATTCTTACAAAGGGGTAAACTAAAATATTTAGATTCTATCAATATTAAAGACATTTTAGTAAATTTTCTTTGAGTGCAATTTCTTTATAATTTGAAAATGATGAATTCTGATGACAGATTTTGTGCTTTGATTTAAATTTTTTTTGTCAGTTCAAACATCTATAACTAGGTGGAATGGTTTTTGGAAACTTTTTAAAATTTTATTTTTACTAAGTGTTTTTTTTTTTTCTTTCCTGATGATAGCCAATTTTTGATAAAAAATTATTTGTTTTAACATCGATCATTACACACTAACTACCAAAATTTCCTATATGGAAAATGCATAATAAAAATTATTAAAAAACAAAAAACTAAGTTAAATTTAAAAATCAAAGTTAAAATACAATTTTAATATAACTGTTATTAATAATATGGTAATGTAACTTTCTTCTCACTCTGTTATTTAGAAATAAACATGGTTTTGGATATTTTATTTATTTTTTAATATTATTTTAAATAATTTGTTAAAATTAGTACTCTCTATAATAATAATTGTTTTTTAAACTGTTTATAGTATTTGTATAAATTCTTTTGTCTAAACTTTTGTTACATAGGAGTTATTTCCTTTGCACTTGTGGTGTCAGGTGGCAGTGTCTTAAAAAATGAAAATCTTATAGTAAGAAATTAAAAAATGTGATCATTTTTGCAGCATGGTTAAACTAATAGAATTATTATACAGACTAAATAAGGAAATGATTTAGATTTGAATTTCAGTCACATACTCTTGTTTATGAGAATGTAATGGATAGAAAAATATGAAAACAAATATAATTTGATAAATGGCTACCCATTTTTCACAAAACTAAATGCTAAAGTGAAGGCTGTTAAAAATATCCTTGCAGAAGAGCACAAACAATTTTTTCAATTAAGAATTGCAGGCATATTTTATCAATAATTATATATTTCTAATTCATGTTTATATATTTTGAGCTGAGATAGTAACTGACTATTGGTTATATAACCAAAAAATATTGTGTGATTTTGAGTGTCTTATTAGTTTAGTAACTTCTCCTTAGTTACTATATTGTCTAAGTTAATCTTGTGATGTTTTGTTTGATTATAGTTTGTATTTTAGATATAATTATCTTATGTACCTTTAATTTCAACCTGTCTAGAGATACTTGTTAAAACTAAAATCTGATTGATGCATATAACTGATAAATGATACTTAATTTCTCTTCTGCAAGTTTTTTTGGATTTTATTTAGTATTTTTATGGAATATTTTTAAATACATTTTAATTTCCCCAAATATTGTTACCATGAACCTTATATATTATCATAAAAATAAGTTTACACAATACTACAAATGATCACAAATCTTTGTACTATAAAATTACTAAATCTTCAACAACAAAAAACCTGTGTTTGCCAGGTGGCATCTCCTGGTACACTCCAGAAAAGATTCTAATTGGTGGCAGTTTTCATGGATGAGTTTATAGTGTTTTTTCTACATTTCATAGTATTTTACAAAAGTGATTGGTCATTCTGAATATTTGTCATCTTGAACCAATATTCAATGAAATCCAGGTTCAACTGAAAGAATATCTGCCAAAAGACTGACAAAAAATTTCAAATGTCTTCTTTATAGATTTGTTGAGATTTACACAACTTGATGCAGGCATGTCGTTCAAATATGTTAACCATCTTAAAGACCAGAGTCATTTAAATACAACATTACAAAACTTCATATAATAATTGAATATAAGTAGATAGCTTAAAAAAATCTATTGGCAGACCGACTCAGTAGGTTGGGTATCAATGAGTATTAGCTGTATGCTAAAATCACAGTTCAGGAAGTTGGGGGTACCACTTTGTATATACTGGAAGAAGTAGAAATGTAAAATTACAAAACACTGCACCACAATAGAATATCTTATTCTCTTAATATAACCCTTTTCATTCACTATAATGTTTTTTAGTACACACACACACACACACACACACACACGCATACACATATATATTTATATTAATGAATTCATTTTTGGATCGAATGTACTGTTAACACAAGATTTTCAAGGATTCCACACAAATATCCCAACAGTATTATATAAAAATTACATCTGGAATTCTTTACAGATATTTATTATTTACAAATATTTTCTTTTTGATATCTATATCCCATTACAATCAAAAGGGTTTATTTCATAAGTATTTATTAAACTTGGCTCTGTTTACTATATTATTCAGTGAAGATAACACCCACTACACAATATCAATTGATGGTTCATCCAATTGTATATATTGTTTTATTTTTTATTTACATTATCCTGATTTATAATTGTACAATCATATATTTAATTCTGTAGGTATCAAAGAATTACAATGTTAAACTGTGGTGTTTAGGTTTTAATCTAGTACTGGTAACTCAACTGTCAAGATGGAGAATGATTTTCTTGATAATCTTTACTTCTTGAAAAATTTGTGCTTTATATCATAGGAAATATATATATAATGGGATAAAATGAAAAAGCTTTTTAAATAAGATGTTTCACTAATGTGTGTTAGGTTTGGCATCTTCAGGTTGGAATGAAAGGCAAAATTGTGTGTAAAGAAAATGTGTTGGAATTTTTGAGGTTAAGAGGAGCAATAAATTAAATTACCTGATCAGATCTTACAACTAGAAAATGTCTTTTTTTTATTAGAGCTGTTGGTGTCTGATGAAATTTAAATCAGCTCATTCTGAGTAGATTTTCTTTTTTGAAACTTTTTATTCTTACCCATAAACAATTATTAATTTTTTAACTAATAATGGTTGACAATACTTTATGAAATTTAGACAACTTTTACTTCTATGTGTAAAAGCAAGAGAAATAAAATGCAAATAATTTTAATAATTGACAATGCTTTCTCTAATATGTTCAGGATGATATTGCTCTTAATACTAATAGTGTATCTAAACAAAGGTTAAAGATGACTTTTCAGAGTAAATGAAGAATAAATAAGGCCTAATGCTTCATCTAATAAAAATTCAAATGGTTATAAAATGATTTTTTTTTGATGAAAAGCAACTAAAATAAAAAAATACAAGTCAAAAATTAATAATGATTTACAATGATTTATTTAATAAAAAGTTAAGATAATATTACTATAAATGGCTGTGTACTGATTGAGTAGTTTTGATAAAAAGCAAATGAGATTACAACAAAAGAAATTCTAGTCAAAAATTAATAATGGTGATATTCCAGATGATTCATAATTTTCAAAATTTCTTTTACATAAAACTCAATTTTTTATCTTCCTGTCTGTCTTTTCTTTTTTAGCCATAGTTGTATGGTCCCATCGTGAACTGAAAATATTTGTTGAGATGTTCAAGAGGCAAGTATTTGGTGGCAAATCAAATCTCTCCACTATTGCAGAATGTGTTTCATTGGCCAGGCAACACTGCCAGGAAGTAAGTAATTACTCACATTTTATTTCATAGCTATTTATTAACACACTAGTTAATAGAAGATACAAAAATGCAAGAAATGCAATAATTTTAAGTTCTACTAATTATTTCCTATGTGGAAAAAAAAAAGAAAAAAGTATGAACTTTTAAGAACTCTCACCAAATTTCAAATACATATGCCAATATGTCAGTTCAGATTAAATCTAACAAAACCCATCAAGGATTTAAAAATGTTAAAGAAAACAACCAATAATTGAGTAATCATAGTATTATTATCAAGATGCTGAAACTATAGAATATGATTTTGTGTTAATATTAATCTTAATCCAAGAATTTATCCATTGGTACATAAGATGTTATATACATTAGTTATTTATTCAACTCTTGAGATATAAATCTACTGGATATATATTAAAATTGAGGTTTATCAAAGCATTAGTTGTTCTAAAAGACATTGTGTAATGAACTGGACAAGATGGTTTTAAACTCTTCAGTTGAAATTATAGAAACAATTCTTAGTGTTTTGGAACTTTCTATGACAAAAGGCTCCCACTATATGCAGTTTCTTATAAATGGACTCTTCCAAAATATACTCACTGGATTTATTTAACATATACTGTAAGATGATCTGAAGACAACTATAAGACCTAGAAGATACTGTTGACGGCATCCTCAGTAACACAAAGAAAAATAAGAAGCCATAAAAAGACAAAGTATTTATGGTTGTCAGCACCAGTGCACTAGAGCACCTATGGTGTAAGCTTCAAATTGGAGAGAATGCCAGAATTGAGCAGATGCATAAATTTAACTTTCTGCTATGTTGCGTAGTAACAGATGTCATAAAATATGACACAGAAATCTGAAGGTACATTGAAATACACTGAAAGTTGGCTTCCAGAAATTAAGCAAAGTATTAAGAAATAGGAAAATTTTGTTAGAAGCAAACAAAAGAGTGCTGAACTATTACATAATATTTAATTCTCTATATAACAGTGAATGCTGGACAGTTTCTTTACATATGAAGAAGAAACTGAGTGATAGGAATGTGCTTCTACAGACACATACTGAGGATACCATAGACTGAACATGTGAGTAATGTGGAAGTTTTAAAGAAAATTAGAAGGACACTTATACTTAAAATCAAAAACAGCAGAATTTTTTTAAATACAATGAAAAAAAAGGGCTTTGAGAATTTAACATTCACAGGACATACTGATGGCAGAAGGAGCAGAGAAATCTCGATCAACCTGATGAGTTTATATGAATGGAGACAAATGTAGTAAAGACTCAAATGATGTTTAGTTACAAGGGACAGGAAGTTGTTGAGAGCCATGACTGCCTACGCCCATAAAGGATACAGCACATTAGAAAAGCTGTAGATACAATATTTTTAGTTTTTATATGTGCCTAATGAAATTATGTTACTCAAACTTACAACTAATATAAAGTGAAATGCCAACACCATTTTGTTTTTCTTTGATTCTAAGTATCACCATAGTAGACACAGTTCTTGGGATTCAGAAAATTTTATTTTAATCATCATAATAGTTTATTTTGTCAGTCAGAAAGTTATTTTTGTTGTCACTTTGTGATTTTTTTTTAATCTTGATCTATATGGATAGTCTTTATGATTTAAAAGATTTATTTGTTTTGAAGCCATTTTCTGGCTTAGACATTTATGAATGATTTGGTTGCTATCCATATGAGAATGTAGATCTGACAAAGCTATTTAAGAACTTGATTCTCCTTTTTGGGTCAATATTTTTTTGTTTTGTTTTTTTAACATCTCTTATAATATTGAACAAAAGTATCCCTAACATCTTCTGTTCAATTTCTACATTTCCTATACTAAATTTGTTATAAGTAACCCATGCCAGCTGCTTTAAATCTTAGATGAATTGTATAATGTGACTTTTTACTAATTTTAAATCAATAAGTTTTATGCTTACTGTAAATTAAAATTCTATTTAAATATCTAGAATCAACTTAGTAATCATTGTCCATGCATATATTGTCCTAGTGCAGTACTATTACTTATAGATTTATTAAATCAACAGTTTTTATTTCATAAAGCTCATCAGCATTTTGCTTATTATAATAAAAATAGTTTTGGCAATTATATTTACTTTATTTAAAATAATTAACTCAAAATATTGATCTGTTCAATATTATTAATATTTTAATCAGTGTGGAAATCCTTTTGACAGACTTGTTGCATTCAAAGCAGGATTATTTTGTTTTCATACAAACTGGATTTGTAAAAATTTCACAAAACTTGACAACTGTGATATCATAAAGAAATATTAGGGTATAACATGATTGATACTCTCTAGTGAGAGTCATTTCTATGGTGAAGGTTGAGTAACATTTACTGAGTTTGATCTTATTTGCAAGGTATAACAAACATGGAATTCAGACACATAAAGAGATGAATACAAAAACTTCCATATTTTTATGCAATAATTTTCATTGACTTTTTTTTTATTTTTAGCTAATAGTGGATAGGTAAAATCTTTTTTGTTTTTTGTAAGTATTTATAAAATTCCTTATGTTATAAAGTCACAAAAATTTTGTATGATTTAATAAAATGCTTTTACTGTACATTACTCTGAAGTAAAATTTAACTTGTCAGTTTTTTTTAGTTTGTACTTTTCAAACCAATGCACTCTTAATACAGAAATATGCAGAATATTTTCTTTCTAAATTTATTTTCCAGTTACACAGTATTGGGCTGGATCTGAGCTTTACACTTGATGTTTTTATTAATGATGACATCAACAGAGTGATTCAAGAAACAAAAGACCAACTCATTGAAGCTATAAAGTTTCGGGCTGGGGTAAGTTACAAAAACATAAAAAAAATAAAATTCTTTTTATAAACATAAAAAACATAAAATTCTTTTTATTAAATAATATTGTCTAGATTAAAATGTCTAAAATAATCAATAATTATTAATGACACTGTTATTTTATATATATATATATATATATATATATATATATATATATATATATATATATAATTATTTTTTAAAAAAAATTATAACATAAGTATGTTATAAAATCACTACAAAAATAGCCATTTTGTTTCAACACACTCTGTGTCTTATCAAGTGATGATGTTGAAAAGAAAACCTATATATATATATATATATATATATATATATATATATATATATATGATATTATATATGTTCTGTTCATTCCTTTAATAATACATAGTCATGAAAACTTGTTTATTTTACATCTTACATTGAAAACTTAACATGTCTCAATTTCAAAATTTTAAAATACCTACCATATTTCATAGCATATAAACCCCCACATTTTTATGGCATTTAAAAATGACTTTTCCCTCAAATTTTAAATTTCATATGTTTGTAAAAAATGAATAAAAAAGTTATTTTGAATGGGTGAAATAGAAAATATGGAGGAAGATCCAGTAACATTTGATGTACCATACTAAAAACCTTTACTTTATATTCATTGCTGAAATAGGGGAGGGCATTCCTATATGACCATGGGTTTTATAGTTCAATCAAATATAGTAAATTAAAGTTTAACGGATATTTACTTCCCTCATAAAATTTAATTGTGTATAAAATGTTGTGGAAAATGAGCATTAAGACTTACAAATGATAAACAAAAGGTAACATTTTTCTATTCAGTTTACTGTGTGTGTGTGTGTGTATATATATATATATATATATATAAAAAATCTCATTTGCTCTTGCATGTAATTAGTAGAAAATATTCTGCCATGAAAAAAAACATTATCTTCAAAGTGACCCCTTAAGTTGTTTGCAAGCTGATTCACAAAAAGTAACAATTAAAGTTTATACTGCATTCATTTCAGATTCCCTAAATAAATGTGTAGTGCTGTGTGTATGTTTGTGTATTATATAATATATATTCTTGTATGAAAGGGTATTGAAATGTTCTCCTGACCAAGAAGAGGCTTAAAAATATCAGCTGTTTGGTCAGATTTTGGGAAGTTTATCAGGTTAAGTCAAGAATTTTCCAACACATCATATTTTTTTATTCCAGTTACAAGATTATTGTGATTATCAGATACAATTACACACATATATCCTTGGCAAAACGTTTAATATAATACATGTAAACAAAATTTACCTAATACTACATATGTTAAAGTTTGGAATCTAACTTTGATCATTAGTTAACAAAGTGATTTTAGATATTGCTTACGTAATTAATTCAGTCATTAATGAAATTTCTACTGCTAAGACTGTCTGCTAAACTAAAGTAAGTTTATGAAATACCTAAAGTAAAATTGTATGCCTTTAAAAGAAATCATTTATTATTTTCCAGGTTTTCTTCAAAATATAACAATATATATTACTTATATCTCATCAAAATATTTCTTTCATAGTTAAAAGCTAAATATATTGCTTATTGTTGATGTCATTGAAATTTTTTTAGTAGTTTAAAAAGCAAAATATTCATACACTGACATATGTTTAAGACAATACTAAAAATAAATACATGCAATTGGCAGTCTGTCTATATTTCTAAGATGAGGTATTATGTACATTATTTACATTATTCGGACTATTGTCATCATCTTTGTCGCCATATTTATCACATTTTGGCCATCGTACACTCCGGTCTTCTTCAGGTGGTTGGAATTTCGAACCGAACCCTTTATTTCGCTCACTGGGGTAAACTGTTCTAGTTCCATGTGCCATGTTTGATGGATGTCAGTTATCAGTTATCTCCTGCTAATTTCCCTCTGAAAGTTTTCAACTGCCTTAACTGGGTATTGAACTCACACTCTTTGGGTCCTGTCACTGGATCTAACCAATGCCTTTATCCACTGTGCCATGTGTCCTTGAGGACACATGGCACAGTGAAGAAGGCCGGAGCGTACAACGGCCGAAACATTGATAAATATGGTGACAAAGATGAGGACAATAGTCCGAATAATGTAAATAATGTATGCAATTTGGCACTTTTACATGTACACATAGATTATTATACTAACTAATATCAATTGATCATTATGTATTTAAACATAGGATAAAGTGAACTAAAAATGTTTTTTGTATTATTAACTGTTTTCCTTTTTACATTTTTTTTTTACAGGATGATCTATGGAGACCCATGAACCATTTGAGTAAAGCTGCTTGCAATAGGTTTATAGAAGAAATGTGTGCGATTGGTTTTAATCATTTATCAAACTTTGTTTATGGTAAATAAACTTTTTTTAATTTTTGTTAATGTTAGCAAATATTTTTGTTTTTAGAATTGTTAATTTACAATTCATTTTTTTAATGCACTTTAAGAAAATAAAGTTAGTGTTTTTCATTAAACTTTTAAATAATGAAAATTTAACTATCTTTTGTTGGGAAATTACTCTTTATTTTCACCTATATTATCTAAAAAATATTTTCAGATATAGATAGTATTAAATAAAGAAAATATATTTTCATTTACATTTTTATTGCATTGAGAGAATATATGATAATTTTGTAGAGCTTTTGTGACATGTTTTTGTATATAGAATTTTTAGAAATTACTTCCTTTACAAAATATTTAACCTAAACAATGAACACATTTCCACTATATTGATATGTATGTCAGAACAAAAGCTCCTAGAAATGTTTTAGTAAATTTCAATCCAATATTTAAATATTTAGAAATAAATTAATTCAGCTACATATCTGACATTTTGTTCCACTATCATTTAACTCCTTCGAGACAGCTCTATGATTCTCACCTCTCAGAAGTTGGAATCTTTCTGTGTAATCAATTGGTCTAAGTAATTTTTACAGGCTTTCAGAAAATTGAACAAGATTTTGCAGGGATCAAAATAAGTGATAATCCAAAGATGCAAAATCAGATGAATATGGTGGGTGTAGTAGGATAATCCCAGTCCTGCAAAGCTACGTGAGGTCTGGTATTGTCCTAATGGAAGAAGGAACCATTCTTAATGACTAATTCTAAATAATTTTTATCAAATATTGTCTTTAATCAGACAAACTGGGAACAGTACTTGTCTGAATTCACCCTCTGATTTTGCAGAAAGAGCTTGTAATTCACAATCCTACCAGATACACAGGATCAACTTCTTTGGATACAGATCAGGTTTTGGAGTGGTTAACAGTGTCTCATTTCATTTTCTGCAGGAACTTTTTCACTTCACATAGATGTAAACAACCTATTTTTCATTGCCTGTGATCATTCTTTTCAAAAATGGATTATTTTTTTATTGCATTTGTGCAGAGAATCACAGATGGAATTTTTTTTTTTGTTAAATTGTGAAACATCCAAGCATCATAGCAATTTCACATATCCATGTGTTTATAAATGCCTTAACATACTCATATGATATGTAGTATCTCTGCTGCAATGTCCTGTATTGTGTGACCTTGATTATTTTTAATCAGTGTTTCAACATCTGCAGCCCTTCCAGAATGTTCTCGCTTCTAAATCTAGAAAAGCAGTGCTCTTGACTATGGTACCATAAACAGCACACATATTTTCTGTTTGTACAGTGTTTTTATCTTCCTGCAAATAAGTGTATCACTTTACTCTATTTTCATTTTTAACATAAAAATATTTAAAATTCAGAATCCACACAGGTTTACCTTTCAATGTGTGTGTGTGTGTGTGTGTGTGTATATGGATGGATTGATGTGAGTTTGTGACTCTGGGTTTCATGCTTTTGCGATCGTCAGACAAACTGATTAATTTTTTAAAAAATTTGGGTTTATGTAGATTGCATGTATTGGTGTTATTATGGAAATGGACGGGAATCGTTCTCGTGATGTCATCGTGCTAACGTAAATATAGATGCATGTCCATACACCAGTTGAGGTACACAGACACACATACACACTTGCTTGTCCGTCGGGACTCATGTATGTATATGGGTGGTGTTGTGTCTATACATACGCATTTGTATGTTGAAATTCAAAAATTGGAAGTGTAGCGAAAATTTCTCGTGAATGTATACATGTCAACAATCAGAGCATTTTTCTATTTTTTCACTGAATAATATTTCCTCGCATGTATTTATATACATGTGGTGGGGTCTGTGTAAAATTATGATAGGTAAAAATTACTATTTTTATTTTTAATTTTTAAAGAAAGGGTTTATTTGTTATCATTTTAAAGTTGCTTGTTTTTGATGACTGTGTATATGTAACTGGTAGAAATTTCAGTTTGTAATCCTTATTGGTTATTTTATATGGTGGTATGTAATATGCTGTGGGAGGGGGTAGTTTATGTTAATAATTATAGCGGGTCTATAATTATATATGTTAGCTCTATCTCTGATATTGAGCATTTTCCAATAAGTACCGCACATATAATATATAATTATATATATATTTATTTATATTTATATACACACAGTTTTCACACACACACACACACATATATATATATATATATATATATATATATATATATATATAAAGGTAAAAGACAATAGGAAAACTCTATTATTAGCTGACGCATTTCATCCAATGTGGACTTTTTCAAGGCAAAACGAAATGAATTTATTAAAAACAAAGTAACTATTAACAACAAAACAAAATGTCCTTAGCAACTAGAAGAATTTAGAAAACGCTATTGTATTCATATGTCAAGTGCAAGTAATAATAGCAGACAGATAATTATGAAAGTTATTAAGGACTAATATATATATATATATATATATATATATATATATGTATGGTTAGAACAAAAAGTTTCTAGTGTTTTTCAATATACATTGTTTGAACATGTGATTTAGTTTTACACATGATTGAAATATATATATATATATATATAGCAAAAACACATGTTTGTCTCCTGAGCTCAGAAAATCTCCTGCCTTTATATGCGAAGAATAATGCCTTTGTTCACCGAGAGATCTTTCTGAGTGGTCACGCCATTCAGGGAAGGGAAGAATATTAGCACAGATTCTCGTCCTTAAAGTAGATTGTTCTTGTCACATAAGTGACACTCGGGGGTGGGCCTCTTTATTCTTAAGCTTCTCCGGAGTGGGGCGACTGTTGGAGGAGATTGTGTGGTATGTTCTGAAGACTCATCTTCTGAGGATTCTTCTAATCTGACAACCTCACACACAGTCTTCACCATCTGAAGAGGTGCTAGCCCTACCTCCGATGGTGATTATTCTTTCACTTCCTGAGCACTCACTGCTAGTGTCACTTGTTGAAGTATCTGAACCTTCATGGCGACGCAAGTCTCTTACGTGTGTTGGTATTCCATCAACCAGCACAGAGCATGAGTTACTTATTCCAGTCCCACCTGGTACTGAGTTGTACATGTGGAGCCTTCACCCACATGCGATCACCCTGGTCATACGGCACTCATTCTTTTATCCATTCAGTTAAACTCGTCATGTCAATGCCTCTTAGCTGGACTTTGTACCAGTAAATCATGTTGGCTGGCGCAGTTGAGTATGATACATTGTCTTTAGGGGTAACGTTGTGCCAATACACTGCTTCCATTATGGAACACTGCTTCCTGGCAGTGATTCTCTTGATGCTCCAATGGCATCACTCTGATGGGACATATGTGCAGCAAAATCTGAGGTGGACTCCCTACGAATCCAAAAAATCTTTAAATAGTCCACTGCGGAATGCAGTGTCATTGTCAGTGAGGAGTTCCATTGGAGGTCCATGTTCAAAGAACAATGCCCACAAGTGGTCAATCACAATTGCAGAATCCTGTCGAAAGAGATGTCGCCAAATAGTGAACCAGGTTGGGCCACAGTCAATCAGGATTAGTTAGTGAGTTCCATTATGATGGGTGATGTCCATTCCAACACAGTGTCACACTTTGCTCACATTCAGTTGTCCTTTTGGACATTGCGCACGTGCTGGGTCAATGGAC